TTTTTAGTAGAGGTGGGGTTTCGTCACGTTGTCCAGGCTGGTCCCAAACTCCGGACCTCAGATGATCTGCCCACCTTGGCCTCCCAAAGTGCTGGGATTACAGGCTAGAGCCACTGCACCTGGCCTAGGTGATATTTTAAAATATCATAGGAACCCAGATGTTTCACAACTCTCACTTGATAAATTTCCCACTAGCTGCAGCCTCCTTTTTTGACCCAGAGAGTCTCTCGGGATGATCCAGTTCAGTTCCTTGGTGTTTTCTGATGGTAGAGATTGGATGGAGGGAAGGGCTTTCCCAGGATCACCTGGCAGGAGGTGCTGACTAGCATTCAGACTTCCAGAGCCTCAATCCTTGTTTTTTTTTTTTCTTTTTCTTTTTCTTTTTCTTTTCTTTTTCTCTTTCTTTTTTCTTTTTTTGTCTTTTTGAGACAGAGTCTCTCTCTGTCACCCAGGCTGGAGTGCAATGGTGCGATCTTGGCTCACTGCAACCTCTGCCTCCCAATTCAAGCGATTCTCTTGCCTCAGCCTCCCGAGTAGCTGGAACTACATGTGCATGCCACCAGGTCCCGCTAATTTTTTGTATTTTTAGTAGAGATGGAGTTTCACTGTGTTAGCCATTCTCCTGACCTCATGATTTGTGCACCTTGGCCTCCCAAAGTGCTGGGATTACAGGCATGAACCACTGCACCCGGCCGGTCCCTGATTTTTCTACTCTCCCATCAGAAGAGCTGGAGTCAGTAGTAAAATAATATAATTGAGTCAACCCTTGATTCTAAACAACTTTCCAAAATACTAACAAAGCATGACTAAACAGTACTTCATTTTGTCACATTTTAAAATAGAAAATGGTCCATGTGATGAGTACTTTTCATAGGCAAGTAATTATTTGGTAAAATAATCCAATTTCATTTTTTTCCATTTTCTGCACAGCAAAATGGGGAATTCTATTATCTTAGCAGCAGCTTTACCCTTTCATCAATCCATCAGCATAGTTTCTTGCTATGGGAACTTAGACTGCTGGCTTGAGAATTTTCCTCATTTCTTTTTTTTTTATTTTTATTTTTATTTTTATTTACTTATTTTTTTGAGACAGAGTCTCTCTCTGTCGCCCAGGCTGGAGTGCAGTGGCGCCATCTTGGCTCACTGCAAGCTCTGCCTCCTGGGTTCATGCCATTCTCCTGCCTCAGCCTCCTGAGTAGCTGGGACTACAGGCACCCACTACCACACTTAGCTAATTTTTTGTATTTTTAGTAGGGATGGAGTTTCACCGTGTTAGCCGAGATGGTCTCGATCTCCTGACCTCGTGATCCGCCTGCCTCGGCCTCCCAAACTGCTGGGGTTACAGGCGTGAGCCACTGTGCCTGGTTGACTTTTCCTCATTTCTAATACAAGCATTTAGTGCTATCAGTTTTCCTCCTAGCACTGCATTGAATGCATCCTCCATATTTTAATATGTGACTTTAAAATTTTCATTCAGCTTGAGGTATTTTTAAATGTCATTTGATACTTCTCTTTTGGCCCATGGGTAACATAGAAGTGTGTTGTTTAATTTTCATTTATTTAGACATTTTGCTATTGCCTCTTTTATGATTTTTAATTGATTCCCTTATAGTCAGAAAAAAAACTCTATATTATTTCAATTTTTTTAAATTTGTAAGGTTTGTTTTATGTCCCAGAATATGGCCTATTATGGGAATATGAAAAAGCTGTGTTTTCCACTGTTGCTGGTAGACTGTTCCATGTTCTCTCTCTATATATATATCAATTGGAACATGTTGGTTGATTGTGTTGTTTATATCTTCTATATCTTTGCTAATTTTCTATCTAGTAGTTCTATTAGTTTCTGAAAGGTGGGTGTTGAAGTCCTCAGCTACAATGCAGATATACCTACTTCTCCTTTCTGCTCTATCAGTTTTTGCTTCGTGTGTTTTGAAGCCTATCACTTGGTGTGTGCATACTTAGGCTTATCTCTTCCTGATTAATTGATCCTTTATTCTTATGTTCATGATAAGATGGACACCTCTTGCCTGTAGTAATTTTATTTTCTCTAAAGTCTATTTTACCATATATTAGTATAGATACTCCTTCTTTATATTATTATTAATTTTTTTATGTATATTTTTTCCATCCTTTTATTTTCAACCAGCTATGTCATTGAATTAGAAGTAAATTTCTTATAAATGGCATATAGTTGGGTCATGGTTTTTATTCACTCTCCAATCTCTGTTGATTGGTATATTCATACCACTAGCTTATAAGGTAATTATTGATATATTAGTGTTTAGGCCTACCATTTTATTATTTGTTTTCTTTGGTTCTTGTTCCTGCTTTGCTTTTCTTGGGTTCCAGGGCATTATTTAACATTTTTTATAAATTCATCTTAATTGATTTATAGTGTTGTTGAATGTACGTCTGTGTATAGTTTTTATAGTGGTTGTTTTGTATATTACATTAGACATATGTGACTTATTGCAGTCTATTGGTATCAGCATTTAACCACCTTGAATGAAGTGTAGACACATTACTTCTATTTAGGTCCCTTACCTTCCTCATTAAAAGAAACTTTGTCTTGAATATCAGTAATTTTTTCCAATCAAAAATGTATTTATAAAACTCATTAAGAACAGAATAGTCTTATGTATGTGCCCATATTTCTTATCTTTCCTTCGTTTCTTCTTCTTTCCTGATACTCCAACATTTGTCCTTTTATCATTTACTTTGTGTTTGAAGAACTTCCTTTAGTCAATCTTTAAGAGTAGGTGTGCAACAAATTAAAGTTTAGGATTTAAGTTTGGAGGATAGGAGGTGTATTAGTTTATTCTCATACTGCTATAAAGAAATACCAGAGACTGGATAATTTATAAAGAAAAGAGGTTTAATTGGTTCATGGTTCTGCAGGCTGTACAGGAATTATGATGCTGGCATCTGCTTAGCTTCTGGGGAGGCCTCAGGAAACTTACAATCATGATGGAAGGTGAAGAGGGAGCTGGCACTTCACAAGGCCAGAGCAGGAGGAAGAGAAAGAAGGGGGAAGTGCCACACACTTTTAAGCAATGAGATTTTGAGATCACTCACTCGCTTTCACTATGACAGTACCAAAAGGGATGGTGTTAAAGAAAAACCACCCCCATTATCCAATCACCTCCCACCAGGCCCTACCTCTAACATTAGAGATTACAATTCTACATGAGATTTGGTGGGGACACAGATCCCTACCATATCAAGAGGCTTCTGAGGCTTCTTTTTAAAATTTCTTTTATTTTTTTCTTGGTATAGTTTTTGCCTTGTGGCTAGCTTTAACGTATGCTAATCTAGTTTGCTTTTATAAAGATGTTTAATTTAAAACAAGTTTTTCTAAGTACTATTTTTTTTTTTTTTTTTTTTTGCATCTTTGTTAGATGATCCATTCCTACCTATATAGGCCCAGGACATCAAAACATTTAATTATGACTATACCACTCTGATTAATCTTATCTCATTAAGACATAAATTGCAAACCTTTGAGCTATACTGACCTGTCCCCAGGAAGATGTAATTAAGACACCTTTAGGAAAATAAGCAACCATACCATAGACTGGGAAAATATATTAGCAATCTGACAAAGGACATACATAGATCCATATTTAAAGAGCTTCTACAAATACACAATAAAAAGACAAAACCTACATTTTAAAAATGGGCAAAAGATTTGAATACACACTTCACAAAAGAAGATATATGAGTGACCATTAAACACATGAAAAGCTTTCAACATTAGTTGTTAGAGAAGCAGAAATGAAAATCACAATGAGTCACCATTTCAGACCCACTAGAAAGGCTAAAGTACAAAAGACACCACCAAATGTCGTCAGGGCTGTGGAGTCAGTGGAAGTCGTATGTAGTATGGGTGGAAATGAAAATGGTAGAAACACTGTGGAAAACTATGTGGAAGTTTCTTATAAAGTTAAGCATATACTTACCCTATGACTCATCAATCCCCCTAATTGTTCATTCATAATCAATCCTTAGGACTCGCATGTTTTTCCTGCCTCCATATTTTCTCTGCTCTTTATTTTACTATTCACATGTTTCTTCTATTCTCTCATTTTCCATCTTCAATGGATTCTTTTGAATTAACCATAAAAGACTCATTTCTTCCAAATTCACTCTAAGTGGTATACATGTTATACCAAAATTATAATCATAATAATTTAGGATTAAATATCTATTTTGCCAAAATAAGATGGCAATTATTTTCATGATGATGGCTATAAATATTAGTTTTGTGTCAAAGGTAACAATGAAAATGGAACATACACCAATATAAGAAAGACAGTATTTGGATTTTAAATTTTGTTTCATGTACAAATAACACAGCATTCTTTTAACAATAGATCAAAAATCACATCATAGTCATTTGAAAAGTTAATTTATTATATACCAATATACACTTTCTGTAATAAAAAAGAAGCCTCCCAATACATTGAGCCATCTTATAAATGAAATAAGAAAATAAAATTTTCATCTGTTTACAAATGGGGTTAATCAGCACAAGTTATAATATGTATGTCTGCCCTGCAGTATATATGAATTTTAATCTTGGTTATGAAGAAAAAATGGTGCTTTATTATTTGGCAATATAGGATGCTCTTGAACATTCAGAAGATACCTTTTTCCATTTTCTATTTTTGTATACTCTTTAGATGAGTGAAAATGTAAATATTTCTTAATGATGCTATTTGGCAGATTTTTTTCAAATAATAGTAGCTCAAAAGTTATGATACTTTCTAGTAATGCTCAATTTCCATAGCACAGTGCACCATTTTATGGTATTATGCCTCTAGAAAATAATGCATAAAACCAATATATTTTCTTAGGCACAGTCCAGAAAGTTTATTGAAATATGATTTAGTATTATCATACATGTATGATACTTGTATTTCATAATCGGCTTTACTAAAATATAAAATACGCAAGTGTTCTTACTATGATTTGAAAATAAAAGTAGTAAACTCCAGAAATTTTAGGCTGTGAGTAGGAATTTTTAAATCCATTTTATGTAAGTTTGTTATAGAAGTGAGCGAGAATGGTTGTGTGCATTTCTTTGTAGTGTTAGCACTTACACTTTTATGGAGAACCACTCAACATCGTATTAAATGGCCAATGAATGTCAACAAACACCTGTGTGAGTTAAACTGAACTAAATCCTATTTTAGACATGCTAAATTAAAAGAGCAACTTTAGTATTGATAATAATTTGCAAAAAGGAACTTATTTTCTTGTAGATCATCCTATTATTGTAAATATTGAAGAAGAGCATTGCCGAACTATATATAACTTAGGTTTCAAATTTAAATTATCCCCAGACATTTGTAGACAGATACATATGAATGGATTTTTGAGCCCATCAACCTAATTCCCTGCACCCACCCCCAAAAATATAAATGCTTTGTGAAGAAAGAAAACTACACATGTAAAAAATAAAAATCAAATGTACCATACATTAACATTCTGATGACTACAGAATAAGATTATATACATAAACATATAGCAAATCACAGTTTCCTGCACTGAATATTTATCAAATAAAAATGTATCAAACAATACTGGGTAGTGTATTTCCACATGATTGTGGTCTTCTAAAAATTCTGAATGAGGATGGAAGACGAGAGGGAGAGCATTGTTCAATGACAAAAGTATGACAAGAGGATTTAGGAATAACATGAAAAAGCAGATGCTTTCTAGAACAGGCAGTTTAGCTATAAGCATTATTTCTGTTGTTGCTCTATGATTGAAACAAAACCCCTCTCTATATTTAGTGTTTTAACATTTAAATATAGATGTTTTAACGTTTACAAAAAAAATCTATTGAATATAGAAGTCACTAACTCAATGTCACAAACAGGGTGGGCAAAATAACATTTTGCTGTTGACAGTAAGATGCTCTAGACTGGTGTCTGACCATTCATGTACCTTACAGAAACAGTTCCTAAGACATGCCTTTTGCCTCTGTTAGTAAACAGACCAGAGAGTTTGGTGCAAGACTGAGAGAAGGCGTTAAATGGTGATAGCTTTGCCACCAGGACATTTTTGTTTGATGTTCTGAGAATACAAATGTTTGGTACTTTTTTAGGGAGTGCAGGGTGAGGAGACAGCAGGGGAAAGAGTACTATCTGATGACTGTTACATGCAGTTACCCTTATTCTGCTCGTAAAGCAGCAAAAATACACCTTCATCATCTCACACTGTTCTAGTAAGACCTGGGTAGAAATGTGCACCACAGGTTTTATTTTAAACACTCACAGAACCTTCCTTGACAAAAACAGTGATTTTCCTCTTCTGCAGGTGCCTAGTGATATTACTGGTAAACGTCTTTGGAATCTTCCTGTTATTTCCTATGAATAACATTCCAATCAAGATAATTCAAATGTCTTTTGGAGTATAACTTGCAACCATTTCCAATAGAAAAAGAAAGTATTTTTCCTTGTGTTAGTGATGCTTGGAATTTGGAGGATCATAAATCCAGTCCATTATAATGAGTGCCATGCTTCCAATCATGAAGATGATTCCAATCACAAGGAAAATTAAAGCCTGTAATTCAGAGAGACTTTGTTAGGAACACAGAAACCATACTTAGTACAATTTGTTTTTTAGTTATTTACATAATATGGCAATCTGATCTATATATTGAGCCATATTATTCTTAATAGCTCAGATGCCCAGGCCTAACCGATCAGTCCATTTCGAATCCTAATTGGAGAAGGAAGACGAATACAGTGGAGAGATACAACCTATAGGTTCAACAATGGAGTAACAGTTAATTGATTTGGTACGTCAAGAAGATGGAATACCCTGTGATTATTAAAAATCAAAGAACAGAAAAAAAATTCAACAATCTAGAGAATGCTTACAATCTTTTAGGTGAAAAAGAGCAGGTTATAAAAGAATAGCCTATATGATATGATTCTAATTTTATAAAGCAAACAAAACCAAAAGCTTAAAAGATGTGGCAACAAAAAGTGTATGTGTGTGTGCGCATACATATAATATACACACATATATATAAAGACATATGTACATACCTACATATAAAATTCTTCAGCATTTTAACACTAGAAGAGGCCTTACATTTTATCACATACTTAAACCTCCTAATTCTACATATAAGAAAGCAGCAACTAAAAATTTTTCACTAGAAAGGGTCTAGGAGGTAATTGTACTCATTTCACAATTGGCCAAACTGAAAGTAGGTCACAAACAGGACAAGTAATTTGCCAAGTTCACACTGCTGTAAACATCCAAGCAAGATGGGCTACATAGAGTTAAAATTTGGGGGCAAGCTGCTGGATGGACCTTTTGATACGAAACTATCCTGAAGTCCCTGAAACATCCCAAAGGTAAATGACTTCAAGGGAAAAATTCAGAGTGATTCAGTAAGAAATATTCTTTTCAAGTCTTAACATGACTTTATTAAGGAGTGAAAGATAGTGTTTCCTTATTGGAAAAACAATTATTTCTAGCATTTGTTTCTATAGTAGTCTTATGGAAAAGAAATGTATACTCCCTGATTTAACAAGACCGTATTTTGTATCTAAAGAAGTTAACAGAACGATGAATGGTTCTGTGCTGGATCTTAGTCCACACCAGGGACAACAGGCACTACGGAGGGGAAAATAAAAGCAACATCTTTCTTTTGGCTTTGCAAAACTAACAACCATGACCAAAATATTTCAATTATTCCATAACACCGCTAGAGAGTCTAATTCCTTCTTGCATGATTTTCTGTGGATAGTGCAACAGCAGCTTGGTATTGGACACTGCTATGTGCCTGAAGCTCATGTGCCTGTGGGAAAGGCTACTACTATTTGACATGTATGACAGACTCAACACAGGATATTTGATATTTGAAGTAGAATCATTTGAGTTTCAGAATATATCTCCTTTCTCTGCTACCAGAGAGTTCTAGCACATTTTTGATTTTTGGTTCTTGTATATTGATTCATTTTTCTGAACTATGTTATTTTCCGGTTTATTCTAATTACTTGGAAGAACAACTAATAATGGGGGAAATTGCAAGGTTTACTTACCCCGACCTTTTGGGGTGACCTAAAAGGTTCTTTCTTGACAAGTTTAAGATAAAAAACTGCTGGAAGAATAAAAATCAGCATAGTGGCAGAAGAAGCCCCTGAGAAGACAAATACAGTGCAAGGTCAATGTCTTACCCAGCAGGTCTTAGCAAAGGAGATGCCAGCACACACTTTAAACAAACCAAATATAAAGCTATCCTATACTTAGCACTAAAAACACACATTCAAGTCACATAAGCTCATCTTGGTTATTTATTCATAGAAGATATGTTTATAGAGATAATTAAAATGTACCTAACATCAAAGCTGCATAAGTATATGCAACATATGATAAGCAACAAGAGGCTGAATTTAACACAAATTTACAGGGGATTAGTAATATAAATACATACTAAGGTGGCTGAACTCATGACACACCTATCCACCTCTTACTTTTCAAGTTGCCTACACATGGTTCTTTTAAAGTTTTAGATTGTGTTTAAAATTTAAGTAACCCCTCAATGAGTAGAATGGAAATTAATGGACCATGCAGTTATGGGAAATACTAATAATACACTTTACATAATCAACCTCCTATTCCTCTGAAGACACCTTTAAATATTCAGCTGATACTCATAGTATCAGAGAGCTTCTGGTAGGTAAAAATCTATCTTCCTCTTTTTCTGATGACAGAGCTAATACCTAAGTCCAAATCCTGGGTCCACACCAAGGCATATGACTTGACTTCTATGAGGGTCAGTTTCCTCATCTGTCAGAAAAAGCAGCTTGACTAAATGACCTATAAGGTGGCTCCCAGTGTCACTTAGGAGGAAGAGAAAGTGACCAGCTCAATCACCAGAGCCTCACAGGGATAAAGGGAATCCGTGAGCCTGAGAAAGACGGGGATCTGGATGACCCAGCACTGGTTCCCTGTCCACCATTTAATGGGGCGTGAGTTTGGGTTGATCGAATTGAAGCCTTTGTGAAACTCACCGATGAATCCGAAGATGTATTTTATAGTTGGCACAAGGATGACCAGAACATTATTAAGTGCAATAAGCATGGCTGCAATTAGGAAATGTCGTATCCAGCTGAAGGGTCTTTTGGGAAATAACAGTGTGGTCACTGATGTACGAATCTTAAACAAGAAAGTTCAAAGGCAAGATCATTTATTTGTTTTTGACTTTATTATTTCAAATATTCTCATCACTCTAATGCATTTTCTTTCTTTTTCTTTTTCCCAGAAAAGATCTTGATGCTTTTTTTTCAATTTTTTTATTATTATAAAGCATACATAACATAGAACTTACCATCTTAACCATTTTTAAGTGTACAGTGCAGTGGTATTAAGTATGGTCATTTCAGTCAACAACAGACCACATATAAAACAGTGATACCCTAAGGTTGTAATACTGTATTTTTACTGTACCTTTTCTATGTTTGAGTACACAAATACTTAACCATTGTGTTACAGGTACTTACACTATTCAGTACAGTAACATGCTGTACAGGTTTGTAGCCTAGGAGTACTAGGCTATGCCATATAGCCTTACTGTATAGTAAACTCCACCATTTAGGCTGCAAGTACAATCTATGATGCTTGCACAATGACAGAATTGCCTAAAGATGCGTTTGTCAGAATATGTCCACATTTTTAAGTACATGACTGTACTTTCATCTTGTTGTGCAGTCTTGATGCTAACTTTTGATATTTGAGATGGAGTGTCATTTTTTCCTTAGCGTATTTTATAAGACAATATTTTATGTGTTCACTTCCTTAGTTTTCAGAATTTATTGTCAAAAATAATCTCAGTCAGAAAGAGATAACAGGTAAGACACATAATTAAGAAACGCAGTAAAACCCTTGTTGATCATGAAACATGTCTCATCAGACTGGATGAAACATTAAGGGCAAGCACTGAATTGATTTACACAAGATTGTGAAAGGAATTTTTACAAATCCAGGTTTTCCTTAATTTTGCATTTTATTTAACATTTTAAAATAAAATTTTAGGGTGGCATCTTAAAGTTTTGACGTTTTTGTGTTTGCTCCTTCCTCTGTCTCTCCTTTGTACGTCTCCCTATCAATAGATTGTAAATCTATGAAAGGCAAGGAGTAGGACCTAATAATCTAACCATTCCTCAGACTTTTTTGCTCAGTGTTGTGCACACAGCAGACACTCAATAAAAGCTTAAATTAAATTGAATAGTAGGAATCTTTTCCTTCCCTTCACGATCCTTGACAGATTTCAGCCCTACTTCAGCAGTTGAAATAAGTAGGCGAAGGGTCAAGAGAGGCTCACTTTGCAGCAGCTGCTCAAGTTACTCTGTTGTAACTGGATAAAGATCCTGTGGGCAGAGGGAGGGAGTGGCATTTGTGTTTGTACAGCTTAACAAAGTTGAAAACACTCTTATCTTTGGAATCTTTTAGAGGACACTTTTTTGACTTAGTGGAAATTACTCTATCAGCTTTCCAGTAAGTGAATGCTTCGGTTAAGCCAGGAGTTCACATTTTTGGAAATGCTGTGATTGATTTTCACTTTGAAATTTTAGTTCTGAAGTCACTTAAGGTGCAGAGATGGGAACTCATTTAGAAGAGGGAAAACATCAAATATATTTTGAAACATGTATGAATGACAAAAAATTCAAACTAAATAGCTTGCAATTTCTCATGTGACATTCCTTTCATACCACTCCACCAAAAATTAAAGCCATCTGTTTAGGCTGAAAAGGCAGTTTCATTTCTAAAATGACAAACCAGATAGTCTCTGGAAATAGTTTAAGAATAACTTTGTAAAGAATTTTAAAAATTGGATTAGTGAACGTTATGAAACTCATTCTGAAAAGTAAACTGAGGAAAGCAAATGGTGTGATATTGTTTTCCTCAGCAGCCTATAATTCTACATTATGATCTGCAATTAGTGCTTATTCAATATTGTCAAAACTGGTCTAATTGGTAGGCTTAAAATAAGCTTTTTATGGTATATACATAGTGCTTGAGGACAATTTGTTTCACAGTGTTAAACAGATAGAATAAACAAGTATGAAATATAGGTTCATTTTCAGAAAATAGTCACAGTTTGTTTTGTAGTCATTTGTTAAAATGGTGCATTCAGGACAATAAGCTGAGTTCGAGTGAGTTAGAGGCAGTCCTATATGTCCAGGGCCTCTGAACGGGAAGGCAGTCTCCTGGCTCCCAGAAAGACTAACATTTGGCCTGATGATATGAGAGTACAGAAAGTTTATGGGAATAATAGGTAGAATGGTTGGAGTAAACACAAACGCTTCCTCCTCTTTGTGAATAAGGAATAAGAAAATTTCAAACAGAACTGAAGGTGGCTTCCAATGCATTCCTGAAGAGGGCAACAGAGTAAAGAGGGAGGGAGGTACTAGGCTTGTGGTGGTGGTGGAGGAAAAGATCAGGAAGGAAACGTGCTGGTCAATCCATGTTAAAGTGCTTCCCTGAGGAGTGAGCCTAGGACCAAAAGTCCCCAGCAGTTGTTTACCTTTGCCAGGGCAGGCCACTGCTGATTCCCACCGAAACTTATCTGCTCTTACACTTAGCTATGTGCCCTTTTCTTTACTGACACAAGTTGCTAGGAACCTGGAAATGTGGGTCAGATGCTGTGGGTGAGGGGAGGTCCCCAGCACCATCCAGGGCCTCTGACCCAGAATGATTCCATTAAGGTCTACGCAGCTCTGGAGAAAGCATCTGTTATTTCCAGAGAAAGAGTCCTGAACAGGATCCTGTTAGGTCGTGCTGTATTCTGATGCAGGGGCCCAATGTGAAGGTCAAAAATGTGGAGGCACAGGAGGAAGTGCCTTAGCTCTAACTCTTTAAAAAAAAAAAAAAAAAAGCCTCTCCCATTGTTTAGACAGAGCTCACACTTTGATTTTGCAGGTTTGCTTAAGACAAGGATGTTGGAAATACCTACGAATCACTACTCCACTGCAGTTCATAGCAATATATGCTGCATTTCTATGTCGATATCTACATACACTTCAAAACAGATCTGAAGGCAACATAAGTGAAAAGAATGATTTTAACTATAAGATGAAATACAAGTAGCTAGGGATCTTTTTTCAAAGGCATAGCAGGTGAAATTTGAGTCTGTGTGTTCATGATATATCCATTAACATTATTTAGTTTCCTGTTCTTTATGGAAATATGGGAACTTTACTGCATAAAGGGAAGCATAAGCTGAAAATGGCATGATCAGTCCTCTGGAAAGAGGTGCCATTCCATAATAGATACCCTGCCCACTACTAAGAGAGAAAGAAATGTTGGGCTGCTACTGAAAACACTATCTTAATTCATTTCATATATTCACTTGTTCAACAAATCCTACAAGCAGTTACTATGCACCTTTTACTAATAAGGAAAAAACTAACCTGATTGGAGGAAAGAAAGATAATAAATGAAGTAGAGAAAAACAAACCCCAGTCATATCTTCTCAGAGTCCTAAGAAAGAGAGCCCAGCTATCATGTTGAAAGAAGGAGAACGCAAAATAATGTCTAAAGCTGATAGATTTTAATCCAGATTAGGTTTTATTTGTTTTATTATTAATATGTGGTGATATCAAGGCAAGTAAATAAACTTCTTATTGGTCAAGAGTTCCTTAGATGAAATAAACTGTCAGGAGAAACATGCTGTGAGTCAGCATTTGACACATTGAAAATCTGAGCTCTAAGTTATATGAAATAAACAAGCAAAAGCACCAATAACAACTTTTATCATTTTAGTAAAGAAAAAAAATTGAATTTAGCCTCAGAAGACTTGATTGAGATCCACTCAAGGAAGCATCTCTATGTATCCATCATCTATAGGGAGGTTTGGTTCATTTAGCCCAGATCCTCAACCCAGCTGAATTCGTTTCACATGTCACCAAGGGAAAGAGTGTCTATGCTTTTGCTAGAAAAGGCAGTTTATACATTTCAAGACAAGGCAAGATTCATTTGAAGACTGTTTTTCTTCCCCAGCACTACTGAGCTCACCCTCTGTGCCAGTCACTGTGCACATCCACAAGTCCCAGGGACTTATGACTCTGTGGGGCAGTAGAGCACTTACATAGATTATTTAAATGTAACATTACAAGGGTGAGGACAGGATAATGTGCAAAATGTTTTATAAATGCTAATGTTGAGTGGAAATACATAATGAAGGATAGCAGTTAGTCATTTTTCTGAACTCTGGTTCTTATGGTCAATTTTAGTTCTAATGGCATCTAATGTTTACACACTATTGCTGTTCCTGATGGTCAGATTTATACCAGTGCTTTATTTCTCACATAGGGTAAGAATTTCTAAGGGGAGATTTGGATTTTCCATGCTGAGGTGAAATGTTCATCAATAAATGACTTCTACTTCCCATGACAATAATTGCAGCCATCAGTGTTGGGCTATGAGCTGCACTGCTTGAACTGTTACCAGCTGTTTGTGTGACAATGGCCAATTCTGGCAATCCCTTAAGACCATGGTTTGAAAACGCTATATGAATATGAATAAAGCAATACAGAAGCACATTACAGATTTCTTATGCTTTGATTCTACAATGATGTGAGTGCTTATACTGTGCCAATATTTAGTGAGTGATTTTTTTACACATAAAAAGAAGGGCTCCAGATATTTTCTCAGTGAAGTTGTTTGCCTGGCAATTTTATCCTATCATATACCTTCTGTTTATAGTTATCTTCTGTCTTGTACCCAAGACAGAGCTGATTTTAGGCTAAAGGTATGTGTATGTCATCTGAAATACTTTCAGATATATTAGGGGCAAGACATGATTTAAGAGTAAAATATTAGCCACCATAGTAATACAGATCTGATTTCATGCACTCATGAAAAAGGAATGTGCCAAAATATATTTCAGCACACAAGCTGCATTTAAAGTGACCACAGTGTCATTATAGAAATAGTCTTCTTATGCCAGCCCTGTATGGAACATTATGTCCAGGACAGTGCTGGTTACTATGTCACTTATTTTTTCCCCCTCAAATGAATGAGTAAATTCAGTGTTTATGAAAGAGGAGTTGGCAGGAGGGTGAAGACCTGTGTTTATCCTTAGGTGGTGGTTTTAACTCACACAGCCCAAATTTTCACTACCAGCTCTGCTCTGGGATCTCAGAACAAACTGACGCCAATGACAAATGCCAGGAAGGGGTGACCTGGTATGAGTCTGGCAGAGGCCGCATGTGAAAGAGATATATGATAGATAGCATAACTGTTTTTTGAAAAATGTTTTTCTGGTATATAATTTACTTAACATGAATCCCCTTTTCATTAGCCTTCAAGGCGTCAGGTTAAATAAGGCAACTTTTGGATATTATTGCAGCATGACAAACTGGAAAAAAAATGAAATGCCTTCAAAACTGTGATGAAATTCAATATGATTTGAAAGTTAACATGGTTTTGGCTTTCAAGGTTCCGAAGTTATATGAACTCCTACTCAGTTTTACTAATCCACAAGATGGAAGCTCAAGCTCCACTTTTCAAATTTGAGTTTAAAAATAAGTTTTATGACTCTTTTCTACACTATAAAAATATCACCTGAAACGACTTGCTCTATCTGCACATTAAATGGCCAATTTTAAGTGGCTCAAAATGCTATAGGAAAATAACAATATCCTCAGGCATTGCAATTGCAAACTCACCCTATAATTAAATCAAAATGAAGGTAGAACACGTGTGCTAATTTATGGGGTCAAGTAGGTTTCTTTCATCAAAGTCTCATGTACTTACTGGGAACAGGACAATGGGCACAGTTAGTGTTACTGCCACAAGGACTGCCAGGCGAACCATGAGAAGAGGGATGTCGAATGTATACACTTTGCTGTAGGCATGAAGTAATTCATCTTCAGCTTCTCCTACATCAGGAAGAAGATAATGAGCCCGCTTGGTGTTGTCAAATCAGCACGGGTCACTTATGGCAACATTTTATAGAGAGAACACAGAACAGAGGAAAAGACCTAGGTCTGGGAATCCAGGCACCTCTGGTCTTGCCTCTGAGCTCATTAGCTATGCAACCTTCATTCAAATAAACCAAGAGGTCCTGAAGCTTATAAAGTTGCAGAAGCTATAATACAAAATAAAGAGCCTCTCAAGCTCATTTACATTGTGATAAATCTATCTTTGCTGTACAGAAGCAATTACAAATCAGACAAAGACTAAGGTGTTCTTGTTGAAGGGGATGAGAGGCCCAAGCCCCATATCTTGTCTTTCCCAGCCTACCACCTCCCCTGCCCCAACCTGTGCAGCCACTCCTGATGCAGTTTACAAAGCCAGTGTGTAAACTCTAGGATGAATGATTGCTACCATTTTTTCAAGCTCAACAACTATGACTCCATCACCACCCTAAAACAGATATTTTCGGGCTTTTTCAAGTTTTTGCTTGTCTTATGAAACTCATTAAAATAAGTATAAGTAACATGCAGGGATAAATTAGTATAATCTTTACAGGGTCTCCCAACGGATACTACTCTAAGATGAAGATGCTGCCCTACTTGAAAACACATTCATTCAGGATTCCAAACACAAATAACAAGGAAATATTTATGGAATCAAATGTAGTTGGATTTCCACCTCAAGATCAGACAAAAAGGAGTGAAAATACCTTCAGTAGTATTGACCTTGACATTCATTATTTCACAACCAGCAAAAAGTTAATGCCCAATCTAAAGCACATGTTTGGTTAATAGTCAAATATTAGTCAAATAGAAAGAAAACCTAAGCAAATGGTGGCCTACTCCTGAATCTCTCCTCCACAATTTGTCATACCTTCAATTCAGTTTACCAAGTCAGTAAGAAAAAAAAAAATTAAGTTAAAAACCTTAAAACGAGGCTTATACAAAAATATATTTATATTGATACACTGATTCATGTAAACATATGCTACCAGGTCAATATATGATTCCAAGAAATCTGTATATGTGGCCACACTTCATGGAAGGAGTACAATCCTATTCCCTCTGTGAACTGTTAAGATGCCAGAGAGGAAATGTTGCAGGCATAATCTAATGTGGCCACAGTCACTTTTTTTTGGTAGTGCATTCTCAGATTGAAGGAAATTCTGTCATGTCCTCTTTCTTAGGAAATCATTTGATATAACAAAATAGAATGGATGTGTCAGAAATTTTACCTAAAGTCCCAAGCTCCCAGATTTGACTTGACTGGTAAATAGGAGGCAAGTTGAAACTTGAGGACCTGGCAGTTTCCCTGCCATTTGCTTTGCAGTTAATAATTCCATCAAAGGAGCTTTATCACATGCAAGTGGATTCATTCTCATCACTTCTAGCCTGAGTTGGACTATGGAGTCTAGCCAAAGAAATATCATCTGTCCCTAAAGGAAAATAATTTCATTTGAGGGATATTTTTTATGAAATATGTGTTAATTCACAAATTGTTGTAACTTGTTAGCCAGCCTGAATCAGGCCCCATTTCCTCAGGTCAAGTGACAAAGCTAAAACAGTATATTAATTGAATATGTATCATCTATAGATCATGCTTATAGAAGGCAATTAAAAAAATCATACCTACCCAGGTCAAGGATCAGCCTAACAAGGATTTGCACATAGAGAATGACTTTCACAGAGTGACCTACCATAGAAGGTTAGGTAACCAAAGAGGGCAGCAAGCAGGTACATGACAAGCATCCCCGTGATGGAAATATTTGACACTGTTTGCATTTTTCTCTGGGACCGACTGGAAAAATAAAGAACACCAAGCTTTGTTTTTTAGACTTACAAAAAAAAATCACTTTTCAAAATTAAAATAATGAATCAAAAAGTGTATCTGTATTGTTCATCGTGAAGACATATTTCTAGTACATAAACTTATAGCTGATTTAAATTTGTCTTAGAGAGCTAATGAGGATTCATTTCCATTTTTCTTAAACACTACTCCTTCAGTCTTAAAAACAATCATTTCCCTAGAAGAGGAACAGTCTACTTCATGTCGGTCAGTAAGCCTGCCCACTGAATAAGAATGTAATTAACATAAAGATCAAACAGGCTTCTAACATAGAAAGTTTTTGCATTTCATAATGAGATGACTTTAGATGAGGAAAAGAACCTACCAGAGTCAGCAAAGTACAGCTGCCAAGAGTCCAGACTACTGGGAATCCTGACATTGTTACCTGAAAAGCTTCTGGAAATCATTCTAGAGGGAACCTGACTGCCAAAGATCAATTGTCAGGCTTCTGGAGTAACTGCTACACGTGATTTTCAAAGTAAATCAAAGACATCAAAATACTTGAAAGTGTTCTGAAATTTTTTATGAGGTAAATCAGAATTTATAGGGAAAGTTTTGCTATTTAGTGAGAATGAAGACTGAGGTTACTGATGTCTAGATTAAAGAAGTTGAGAATTATTATATAATACCCTTCCTTAAGGGAAAGAGGAAAACAGCTATAATGAGTTCATATCCTTTGTTCCCAAGCAAATACCAACAACTTCAAAGGGAAAAGAATACAAACGAATCACAGACCATCAGCTAGAAGAAACAAGATTTTCTAGCCAGTGACTCTATTGTACAAATAAGACAACAAAGGACAGATATTGGCACATCTCTTGTAATGAATGTGTTCTAGACAAGGCTTAGGTGCTGACTGTAAATGACATCAGTGACTTATCGAGGCTGCCCCTAACCATAAGTTTTGGTCGTCATGGGTGTTTTCATTTCTAGTCCAGCTGACATCACTTCTTCCTAACAAAATTTAAATTTAAATTCCCAACACCTGCCAAAATTATTACAACCATCGACTCCTTGTCCACCTGCCATGAACCCCTCCCCCGAACCATTATGGTGGAGAGAAAGGAGAGAAAGAAGCAAATAAGGTAGTGCTGTGGTGGGCTGATTCCCACCTTTCTGATTAAAGCATGTTACTGAGGGTGGATGGAGTACATATTTTCTCTGAAGAGGAAGCTGTAAACTGTGTTTCCTCTTAAAGGACCTTGAACATATGAGCAGATTTTCAAAGCAAATTAGAATGCTAAAATGATGGCTGCCTTACTCTTTAAGTTCACTGTAGATGGGAAGGACCTCAGGGTGGCATACAAAAGCAAATGCTAGGATAGGAATTGCATAGGCCGTCTGAAAAACAAAGACAACACCACGTGTTTAGCATTCCAACATAGATGGTGATCTCAGGCCATCTCAGTTTATTGAATAAAAACTTAGAAAACACATAACTGTACTCATTAGAAGCCTGGACCTCTCACTTACCCGGGAGTTGAATACAAAGTATTTAGGTTGACACTTGTCATCACTATGAGCTTCATACTCTACTCCACTGTCATGAAGAGAGCCCTTGGCCTGGTTCTCATCCAGCCCCGCAGGATTGCGGTGGGTGTAATCCATCATGAAGTTCACATCAGAACTCTCAGAGTTGTTGGGTAACATTACTACATGCATTGGAAGCGTGTTGTTGAATGACAGATTTCCAACACTGTGATCCAAAACAGGTAGAGGGCAGGGTATTTGGAATTTCTTGTAAATCACCTAGACTCAGTCATTAAAAAAGAAAAAAATCAGCTTTTTGAGAAAAAACAATGAAATAAGAATCCATATGTGTGGCTTATGGGGTGGGGTGTGAGGGAGCTCAGTTAGGCATTCCTTTTAGACTAATGGACAAAGTAAACTCCCTCTAACCTCTGTTCTAAGGGAAGAGTTGGAGCTGTGATTGGCAGCTCTGCCTCTTAGAGTTAACAGGACAATATTTTGCATGAATCCTTCCCACCCTCCTTCATGCCCTTCCATGAGAAAGATGATCACTTCCTTATTTCTTCAAACTAAAGTGACATGGGCCTTCAAAACCTTCTTTCCTTCTCCTTTACCTCTTTGGGGAAATGCTTTGTAAATTTTGGCATTCATGATAGTGCAAGAAATTCCCTCTTTTGTCAGGGGCCTGGAGAGGAGGATTTCTTCTTTAATTCCACTGTCCTTGTCCTGTCTTAATGGGTAGAATGTGTAAGAGAGAATGGCTGATTCATGTGAATATGGCTGTAGCATTCTTCTTTCTCTTCTGGGACTCTTCTCTACCGTTCTAAATACCAGATTATTGTCATGTTCCTGCTTGAAGTGTTCCTTTTTATCCAATATATAACCAGTGTGCCTAGACCAAACCATTAGTAGTAGCTTTGATGTTCCACCTCAACTACCTTTAAATTGTAGCTGCTCTTTTTTTGTTCTAAATTAGTCTACAAGAAAATCACTTGTGATACAAGAACTATTTCATATTAGTGAAGTGCTTGAACAAAATGAGGACACTAATTTAGGCACAGAAAGAATCTTATGCTAACCAACCTACAAGGGTCATGTCATCACATCACTTACCACACTAACAAAAAACACCATGCAGGTAAGAGAAAATCCACTGGTATAGCCAAGATAACCTAGAAGTTAGAAGAAGCATTTTGGAAGGTGAATATGGCATCTACAATTAGCTTACCTATTTAAATGTGAAATAAAAATAAAAATGTTTCCAGTTAGAAAATATCTTTACCTAAATTTTTAAGGAGTGAAAGTGGAAGAATAATTCCAACAGATACAAATATGATGAGGTAGTTGCCATTGAGGTACCATTCTCTAGAAGACAGAGACAAGTATTTAGAATCAGAAAAGACCAAGTAGAATGAGTCACTTGATGTCACAGAGGGAACATAAGACATACCCTGTATTTTCCTCAAGTCCCATGAATGCTCTGATTACTTCAGGTAGTTCATATTTAATGATAAAGAGGTAGCTTGACATTGCTAAAATGGAAAATGTGACAGCTTAGATGGTGTGGATAGCACTGAAGTCACATGCAAGCACGTTATGACATTTGGGATAAGTAAGATGAACATCTAATCCCCCAAATGGAAAAAAAACTCACTGTGTATTTGGCACTGCTTCCAAGTTCTCTTCCAAGATAGACATTTGACCCTCTAGCTTTTGTAGGTGGACCTTTGTTAACAGTATTAGGGCTGATTCTGTGTTAAAGCCAGCTCCAAAGTTTACAGTGAAGCTGCAGTTTTAAGGTTCTGCCCTCAGTTATAAATCATCATAGCCTATACTCAGTGTGCCTGTGTTAGTGTCTATAACTTGGGCAGTAGTCTGGCAACAAAAGGCATGGCCAGCTGAGAGATGGCAGAATCAAAGGGCAGATCTGCAGAGTCAATACATCCCCTCTGGTTTTCTGCAGACGGGCATGTATCTAGTCCTCTGGGATCTGTCTGAGGAGCACACAAAGTCTCAGACCACTTATTGTCGGAACCAAAGTCTTCCCGGATTGATAAAAGAATACAAGAGATGACTCTCTCCATCTTTGTCAAAGACGTTCCCCACCCCCATTTCATCTTACTCTCCTTTTGACCAACTAAGGAATTATATAGTGGCAAAATTTCATGAGCATCTAGGTAAGTGATATATGAGTCATTATCTACTCTTGTGAAAGATTTCTTGATGAAATCTACAAGCCCTCTCCCTGAAAAAATGAATATGTATTCATATGCATAACATTACAATTTTCCTGCATCACGCCTTTTTCAAGCCCATCCATTTGGTGAAGGATAACGCTGATTTGTTGACACATGGCCAAAAGATTCAGTTAAAAACAGAACTCACAAACTTTACCTGAAAACTTTAAGTGTGTCCTACATCCTTCCAGTGAATTTTTGCTGACAGGCACTTTAAAACACATACTTAAATTTTAAATTAAACTACTGAGTTTAAAAATATTTTCTTCACTTCAAATGAAAGTAACAGTGGTGATAATAATTCCCCACATTGTTTAGTCCTGCACATTACTTCATTTGATCATCTGAAAAACCCTGTGAGTTGACAAGATATATGTTGCTATTCTCATTCCACCGATGGAGATATAAAAACTCCAAGATGTTAAGTTGACATGTCCACAAAAACACAGCTTGAAAAGGACGGACTACATCTAAAACAGAAGGGCTGGTGCTTCTTCTCTACTGTCAAAGTGAAACGATTTTTACAATAGCAGATGTATCTTCTGTACACATTATCTGGTTAATCTTTGCAAAGACCTTGGCTAAAGCTAAATCATACAGAGTGTGAACACAGGAGATATTTCTGATTAGCTGATTAGCTGGCTTGGTATGGTACCATTCAATGTTAGAGCTATTAATTGCTGATTTTCAGTGATGCCAGTGATGTTAACGTGTTTGATCTTCAAAAATTCAGAATAATCCAGACATTAATCTGTTAATGTGAAAACATCTGCAGTAAATGTTAATTTTTTAGGGGATTGAGAAAATTAAATGTTCTAAATGTAGAGTTGTTAAATACAGAAATACGAGAGATTTCTCTTACACCAAATATCAACTAATCAAAGAAAGTAACCAAAGTGAGGGCATTTTTTTCTGGGGTGATGTTATAACATTTCATCTTACTCCCTTAAAGTCACACCTCTTACTTGTGTGCGGCTTGACCCAGAGACCGCTTTAGAGTTTATTCCATTATTTAGAAGCATAGTAGTGGCTATACTTTGAACCACAGCTGATGCTGCTGCCACTCAGCTTGTTGAGTTCAGGGTTAATTACGCTAATACCTGGTTATTGTTAAATTAGACCAACTATAAGGCAATCCTATGAAAAGATTGATACTTTAAACCTTAATAAGTCTGAGAGTTTGAAACAAATGTAAAGTGGTCTATTTGTTGGGATTTGGGGAGCTAATATGCATATGGCTCCAAACCAGTAAAATGAGACCATTCTGATATTACTGTCAAATTCTACCCAAGATTGTAGTCTTAACATATAAAAAAATTTCTTTAAGCACAAATCATTAAGATATGGCTGAATTTTATTTATCTGCTTACCAAATATCCATTGTCAGGGAGAGTATAGTTAGATTACTAAAGAAATTTCTGCATTCCAGAAATCCTCGATAACTCCAGTGAATTTATTTATTAAAATGGGTTGCCTGTTTGCAAGATCTCTGTGCAAGTTTATTTGTTGTAGCATTTTTATAACAGTGAAAAATTAGAAACAATCGAACTGTTCCTCAATAAGGATACTGTAAACCAATTATGGCACATTTGTGTAATGGAAACCTCAAAAATCATTAAAAAGAATAACATGCAAATATATTCAAGGCATATTATTAAATTTAAAAAGAAAGCTGAAAATCGGTATCATAAGATGATCCAACACTAACAATACTCAATGTATTTGTTGAATTAGGCATAAGGGAAAACCTATGAGTAGTTATTTCTGAGGGTGACTGACACAAACTTTTCTTGGTAATTTATATATTTGCATAGTGTTTTAGTTTTTCACAATCCTCATATATTTGTTTTATAATTTTTTTAAATGCCTATTTAAAAAATAATTCAGGCAACTCCAGAGACATGGATATGGAAGCAGAGAACCAGGGAGGAGAGAAGCATATACAGAACACTTATTATGTGCCATACGTTACCTTATTTCATCCTCACAGTGGCCTTTGTAAGGTAATTTTATACATGAAACAATTAGGCAAAAGGAGTAAAGTGATCTTCCCAAGGTCACAGATGGTGACAGAAACAGACTCAAATTCAGGTCCATCAGACTCCAAAAGCTTATTCTCTACTCAAGTGTTTTAAAATATCCTTTAGATAACAGTTACATACCAGATACATACAAACAGGACCACGAGAGCCCAGAGGAACTAGTATTTAACAGTCTAGAGAAGCAATAGGCCAGGTGAGCAAAGTGAGAGAGAAAATGTTTGTGTGTGTGTGTGTGTGTGTGTGTGTGTGTGTGTGTGTGTGTGTTAGGGTTGGAGGACTTCCAGAGACATGCAAGGGGAGAAAATAGTCTGTGAAAAGAAGGCATGGATGATTTTTAAAAATATTAAAATTATACTGTTAGGGGACTAAATATAATTTGTTATGGTTTGACACAGGACATGTAGGGTATAGATGATGGATAAATTGATAGAGATAGATAGATAGATGATAGATAGATAGATAGATAGATAGATAGATAGATAGATAGATAGATAGATAATAGATAGATTATTGCAGATAGTGCAGGCTGCATTTCAAGGACCGTAGCATTTGGCCATGTTCCCCCAGACACCCACTTTTCAGTTTTGTAAAATGAACTCAATCACATAAAGAAAACGTCAACCGTTTTGGCAATGACAGAAATAAGCACAAATTCTTCAATTTTTAAGAGCAACAATTCATGTTGTAATAACATTAAAAATCAAGAAAGCTTTTATTTTATATTTTAATTCTAGAATTCAATTGGCAGGGTTTTACATGTTATTTCATTCTTAGATATTGCTGTTTTTAATTAAAGAGGGACACAAATCTATTTAAGAAACTATAGTTTTAAAATTTAAGAACTATAAGTAGCAATTTTTCTGTATCTGAAGTGCCTGTTCATTGCTGTAAGTTTTCTTATTAATTGAACATGCTATAGAAAGTTTGCATGATCCATTGAAAAGTATATCCCCTACCTCCAATGTTCTGCATTGTAATGGAAACAAAAGCTCCAATTTTCCCCGGCCATCCAAATGCCTTTTCTCCTAATTTTTCATAAATCAAAGACCCTATAATCAAAGATAAAATAGCTTTGTTAAAAAGATTGTTTTAATGACTAAAATATTTTGTCATATAATCCCACACTGGAGTCTCAAACATGTAAATAAACATCATATAGAAATTATAAGCCCAAAAGTTGCAACCTCAAAAACCATAAGCAATATATCAAAATGTTCCCCAAACAAGAATCAATGGCTTTATTTATTTTAACTGCATGTAGCAAATCAAAAGAGTTATTTCTATCATATGTCAGAAATTTCTTTTTTTCTATTTGTCTTGAACCTGATTCAGTTGACTTTCCCTCCTGCCTCTCACTTGCCCAAACAACTAAAAGCACTGAGAGATTGTATCACTGGGCTCAGAAGAAAATGAAATGTGAAACTGACTACAATCATCCTAAGGTTATGAAGCAACAGACTGAAATACTCTTTTATGAGAATTAAAATAGAATGTGTTGAACTCAAGTGGTAGCATACCTCCTTCCTTTGCTGTTTTTAATAAAAGGTGAACTGAATACAATGATAATATTGCCACAGCAAGCAGCATGATTCTGTAAAGGGAAGAGAGAGTAGGTAATAAAGTTTCTATAATAAATAAAATGTAATTTTGTTAGATGTTACAATAAACGATCACATTCATCTTTTCAATCATAGACTTTCCAAAAGTATGTGGATTTGGGGGAGGCTGAGAAATTCTTTTCAGAACTCTACACATACCCTTTAAAGTCATAGAAATAGAACGTGCTGTATTTTACATGTCCAAATCTACTACCTGAAGTCCCTAACCTTTTTTTTTTAAATGTTACCCCGTGGTAGAATCTGGTTCACAACTTATATGCTAAGTGTGTAGCAAAATTAGCAAATGCTACATCTACTTACTCAGCACATGGGAATATGTACATCATATTTGCATGATATTCACATCAGCACTTAGAATTAAAGGGCTATTCAATAGTCTGACTAAACCTTAATCTGAAATCTAGGAATCCAAAAGCCAAAGCATGTAGTCTGAGCTGCATTACTGCTGATGCTGTGCATTAGATAACAAAGTACTTTGTAAGCTAGAGGGGCAGGCAGTTGCATATATAATAGAGAAAGCAGAGAAAGCTAAGGATGGGGCAGGAAAATTCCTTTTTTTTTTTTTTCTTTCAGAGTCACTTCTGGTGTCAGGACCCCCACATGCATGTATAGTTTCTTTATGTTTATACTGATTGGTATTTTTCCAAATCTAAGATTTGGAGCGCAAAAATAAGAATGTTGATAGAAGCATCTACATAATAAATGGAGAAACAATGCCAACTTTTACCTCGAATTCAGAAAAAAATCTTTATCTTTATTTATTTTAAAAAAATACACTTTCCCCACAATTGATCTAATCCTTTGGTAGTTCCCAATGAAATCAGTAGTACAAATGTACATTTGGACCATGAATTATAAATTTTATAACCCCTGTAGCTATATTGTGCTCTTATTTTACATAAAGTATGTCTGCCAGAACTAACCAATGACTTAGTCCTATAATTTTCCATATGCGTTATGAACTTAACCCTTTTTAAGGAATAGTGTAATTCAGATTACATAATTTTGTTCCCTGGAAAAATAATGCACATTCCCTGCATTCTAAACATATACTTTCTCTGGCAGAAAATACTAAGAGTAAAACCAATAAAATACTGTGTCACTTGCTATGAATTAAGAGAGAAAGCTTAACCCAGTCTGTGCTACTTAGACACACAAAACACACCCCATCATGTTTAGTGATTTAATTGTTCTGACCAAATTAATCTGCTAAAAAATGAGGCCCTCATTTTAAAAAGTGGAATATTCTTCTCTCATGAAGATGATCTATGACTGTAGGATTGGGTGAAGTTTTTCCTATTTCTATTCATCAGTGATCTATAACTTCCTAATTCATTTTAATGGTATTGTATAATGAATAAGGAAGGGCAGCTTTTTTGTCTTAGAGGTAATGCACACTACAAAAGCATGCAAATATATGACTATATATATGGCTATTAAAATTCAGGTTGTTAAAATCCTAGTTTATTTCAAAACATGGCTTACATAAAAGTAAAGTTGATATAAAAACCCATTCAGTTAAAGAATATAATACATAAAACAGTTCAAAGCACGAACACAATATAAATATTTATAGCCCTGATCCTTAGCCCTCAAATAGCTGTATGATTACTAATCATACATGATATTCAGAACATAAACAGCACATATTTATGATATAAATGTTGCATTCTTAGACAGTTATTTAACTCTCTAGCATTGCATTTGGGATTAGGATCTGTGTCCACAGTGGTGCCTAACATCAGACTTTATTCTTGTGAAGAATTCCACTGCTGCCAACTATATCTTGGAAAATACCAGGCTGTACATGATGCACATAAATGTCTGTTGTTGTCTGTCATAGACAGTGCAGTATCCACCCAACAGGTCAACTACCAGATGCCGCTATCCTTAGGCAGCATTTGGACAAGCTGGGTGAAAGTGCATAGGTTTAGGAATAAAGTTTGGTCACTCAACAAATATTTCCTGTACCAGGCACTGCTCTAGATTTGGAGGTAGAGACATTGGTGAGTAAAAACAGACATGGGCTCAACTTTCTAGAGCTTATAGTCTAGCAAGAGAGACAGATATTAACCAAATGATTCAGACAAATGGCACTAAAACATTAAAACTGTGGTGATGTATGATAAGGTGATTTGCCCCAGTCATGGAGATCAGGGCAGGCAGTATTCAGGTGAGGCTGAACTGACATATGAGGAGTTAACTAGATGAAGAAGATAGAGAAGAGGGTTCCGAGACCATGTGCAAAGGTCCAGTGGTGAGAGGGAATGTGGCATCTTCATGGGATGGAGAGAAGGCAATTGTGCCCAGTGTATCTGTCGCACAGGGGCACAGGGAATGTGACATAAGGTAGGCCAGGGCATGCAGGGCCTTAGACTCAGTTGTTTCTTTCCTGAGAATGAGATAAAATTAGATTTGCTTCTGGGAAAGATCTTTTTGGCTGCTAAACACCAAATTATTTCAAGTATCTACTGAACAACAAAATTCTTCTGGCGAGGGTGCTCCAGCACTTTGGTTGGTTGAGCACATACACTTTCTGCCATTGGGTTAGGCATGCTTGGGTGACCAAGTACCATGAGTAGCCTCCTCTGACTTTTTCCTCAGGTTGCAGTTCTATCTAAAAGCCAGAGGAATTCACTAATACTTTCTCAGATCCTTCATGTTCACAAAGATCAAACTTGAGATTGTTCATTGAAGGAGCCACCAGGTATGCATGGACTTCATCACCAAAGGTAGACATACACATTCACTTACATAAAAAGTATGATCCCTGTGTTGGCCATGGCATAGGACAAGCCCAGGATCCCACTGCCCATGATGGCATTACTTAGGTTGAATGAAGACATTCCAAAGGAAGTGGTTCCGGGATGCTTGAAGAAGAAGGGATGTATTATAAGCAAACATTTGCCAAAGGGCAAACCTTTAGGGGTTATCCTTATTCTCACATTATATTTTCTGCAGATTACAGTCCAAAATTGAAGACTAAGATAAAATTACAGTGAGTAAAGCCATTATTCAAGATCAGTAAAAGCATGTAATTTTCAATGGAATGCAGTGCTTGGTTTTACAAAAGCAGAGGCCTTGGTAAAAATACAAATTACAAGGGGAGTCACATAAAGAAGGGAAAACATGTATGATTGCAGATTACCTTTGGGTTAGAATGATTTCCCTCCAAAACACATAAATTTCATAAATGATTTATGCAGCCATATGGCGAACAGGAAAAAACAAGCCCTTATTCCAGTAAGGGCCTGAATAAACAGAGAATGTGCTGATCAAGGCTTGGAAAATTTCAGTCACATTGTTTTCCCACAAAGACCTAGGTAGATCAGACACCCTCAGTCCCGTTTATTGCCTGAAAACATAGATTCACTTACATGTTCATCACCGTAATCTGCCAGCTTCTTTTTCCCCAAAAATCCATTTGTCAGGAATTTCTGACTTTCAGCGTCTTCGTTAGCAAATTGACTGAACACACACACACACACACACACAAATAAGAAAGTGAAAACATCTAAATATATGCTCTGAATCATTTGTATGTTTCAGGTGGTCTAAGTAATCAGAGGAGGGGAAATTAGATGCCCGAATTCATTTTTCTTTTCCTCCTTCACACTAGTGGTCGTTCCAGACCAACAACTGAGCTCCATTTACAACTATACTTTGGGATGGAAGAAGGATGTTATGAAGGAAGGAAATATTATTAAAAAATTGTTTATACCACATTTCTTCTTTCTCACATCAGCTATGCAAGAGACTAACTACAACTAATTGTGTTCCCATTTAGAGCCCTCCCAAAGAAAGAGTATAGGGTTATGTCAGAGTTTTCTGGACTACTACCACACTATAATCAGATGATTTTATTAATTCAACAAATATTTATTAAATGCTTAGGCACTGTGATGCTCAAAATATCCCTACAGGGAACTGTGGCTCAGAAAGGTGAAGCAGCAGGCCCATACCCACCCATACCCAGGGGGAGACCCCATTCTCCCCTGGCATCAAGCGGTCCCAGGCAGGGCCCTATAGCTGGTATTTTCCTTTTTTTCTTTTTTTGGTACAATCATTTATACATATATCCCTTATTGGAAAGTAATTCAGTGGTAGCTCTGTGTTGTGTTGGTTGTTTCTGTGTGTGCGTATGTATTTTAATTACTCTCAAAATGTGCATGGATTATTAACAGATAATGAATGAAACCAAGGAAATTATGAAAGCAATTCAATGAATTGGCAGAAGAGTTGAGAGGGAAAGAAAACTTTAATATGTCTCTATCCACAGAGCATTGTGATTGTGGTTTTCTTGGACACAGGCTAGAAGCTGTACAACTTGGTCACAGAGCTGTGCTGGTCAGCTCCTGCAGTTACACGCCAGGGCTTTTGAAGCTACGGACCTAGGACCAGCCACATTTCCAAGAGGCTCAATTAATAAGGCCTGCTGCTGCCATTGCATTTTTATATTGCAAAATGTCACAGACTTTTTAGTTGTTTTTATATAAAATGCTAAACTATGTATGATTTTAAAAGTGCTTTCAAATTGATGGGTTGAAAATTTTAGGACATTTCCTACATGAAAAGAAAGATAAAATAATTAAAGATTGTTCTACTAATATAATCCTAGAGGCCAGGCATAGTGGCTCATGCCTATAATCCCAGCACTTTGGGAGGCCAAGGCGGGTGGATAACCTGAGGTCAGGAGTTCGAGACCAGCCTGGCCACCATGGTGAAACTTCGTCTCTACTAGAAATACAAAAAGTTAGCCAGGTGTGGTGGCAGGCGCCTGTAATCCCAGCTGCTCAGGAGGCTGAAGCAGGAGAATCGCTTGAACCTGGGAGGTGGAGGTTGCAGTGAGCCGAGATCGCACCATTGCACTCCAGCATGGGCCACAAGAGTGAAACTCTGTCTCAATAAATAAATAAATAAATAAATAAACCTTAGAAATAAGACAGAAAAAAATTATTCTACGAGACCTGTACAAGCTATTTTTTATAACAGAAGCTAATCCTGAAAATAACCTGGAGACGAAAGAGGATGGTGGGGTTACTTTTTGAGAACAAAAAACAGTATGAGATGTAGATAGAAACAGCAGACAAAATCACAAAGTTTTATGTGCTTTTCTAGAACTCAAGGCATAAATAGCTCTGAGTACACAAGTTAAGAATATTTCCTGGCCTTCTCCCCATATTTCTCATAGAAAGCACAATGCCCTCAGTTGTTGCCTCCTTCCATTTCCATACACCACCCCAACCCGCCACCACTCTTTTGTGGTTTACATTAATGGTCTGTAATTAATGTACCTGCTATGTGAAGACTGGTACCTAATGTTCACAGTTGGAGACTGAAATGACAGGATAAAATGAAGCCTAAAATGGGCCTGAGGACTATAAAAACAAAAGTACCACCTAGAATTTAAACTCTGGAATGTCCAACACTCTATTCTTTATTTTAATCAATAAACTAAAATCTGTATTCCATGAGTAGTTTTTAAAATTGAGAATTTGAAAGTAAACAGATTTTCTTTCTTTGAGGCATTTGCATGTTCTTATTTCAGCATGAGATGAGTTGTAGTCACTAAACATGCCAAGATTGTATAAAATAGATGAGAAGTGTCCCCAGTATGTTAAATGTTTTGATACCAAACCCAGCATGTATTGAAAACGCAAGTATAATGATCACAAATAAATACATTATGTTGAATTTCTCAAAAATTTCCATTTAAGGGTTCAATCCAAACCACACATAGATAAAACCCGTCTCTTTAAACTGATTTTTAAAACTGCAAAATGATTACCTATGTTTAAGCTAGGAGATAAAAGGTAAGTCACTGTGAGTGGTTCGGAACACATTGCATGAAGCTTAACAAAAGCATTCATGCTCTTTCCATTCTGGCTTTTGAGGATCAAGTGGAATGACACTATGACAGTTCTTAGGAGGGTGTCCCCTTCAGCTCTGTCAACCTCGGCAGAGCTCATATTTGTGTACATCCCTCTCAGAAACAAGCATCCTCAGGTTTGAATCAATTTACTGAGGGTAATACAGTGAAGGAGAAGTAATAAAAAAGTATTGGATGTCATCCGTATTCTGGGCACCCATCTCATCCTTGAAAAGTAGCTGTTGGTTTGCCACTTTACATTTTCCACTGAAGCTCAAAGAGGACAAAGAGCTTCTCTAAAGTCAGGCAACTACTTGCAGACTCCAAAGCCCTATATTCTACCACCCTAGTGTTTCCTCAAGGGTCACCTGATTTAGAAAATGCCATAATTTACATCTCAGTGGCCTCCCTAGTCCAACATCCCTAAAGTTCATTGCACTGAGCTACTTGAAGGAAGAACAGTGCTTTCTCCTGATGGGTTTTTCTGGGTGTTGTGGATAAAATGAGAAGTCTTTGTTTGAGCATAATATTCTCTATTTCAGGCCTAGATTTGGTCAAAAATTCCCCTCTGAGCATCCTGAATCATGTACAACTCGATATAACATTTTGTGGGAAATCAATTGACTTATCAAATAACTATTGTGCACTTACTATGCACCAGACAATGTGGCAGGTGGTGGGACCACAGAGGCCATTAACCTGTAGTAGTGATGTAATTAACATCTGCACAAGGAGAGGGTACACAAAGGAGGGGCAGTCACTTCTACGTGGGGGAGTAGAGTAATTTGGAAAAGGCTGCATAGGAGACCTAACGTTGAGCTGATTCTTGAAGGACGAGAGGTGTCAACACGGAGAAAGGGGGAGCAGGTGACTGATTCCAGGCAGTTGGAGCAGAATGAGTGAAGGCAACAAGTAACAGATAAGGAGAGGGCAAAAAACAGGACAGGAGCAGCAGGTCAAGAACAGATCACAAAGGACCTTATGTGCCCAGCAGTGTGTAATCTACTTTCTCTTATTGCTATTGGAGAGGTGCAGAAGGGCTTTATCTAAGGATGGAAATTGATTCAATTTGCAATTGTAAGAGATTACTCTTGCAGGAGGGTAGAGGGCTAGACAGAGAAGAGCAAAATGTAAGACAGGGAGACAAATCAGGACTCTCCCTATCTCGCATTTAATGCAGGCCTAAGGTAAGACCACAGTAGAATGGGTACAGAAAAGTGGGTGTATTTGAAGCATTAATAAGGTCAAACCAACTGGATATGACTGACCTTTGGCTATGTGGGTCAAAGTTTACACCTAGGGGCTTTTGAGTGAGTTGCTAGATGACAGCAGTGATTTTCACTAGGATGGGGATTACTAGAGGAGGAGCTGGTTTTGAAGGGAAAGATAGGAGTTCAGTGTTAGACATTACAGGTTTAACTTTATAAATGAGGCAATTCAGACACAGTAGTGGTCCAGTAGAGATGTGTAGTAGACAGCCAGATATAATGATCTGAAATATTCAGTAGAGAAATTTAACAGGCTGGGGATATGGCATATATTCAGTTGGTGAGGCCATAATAGTTGTGAGTGAGCTTGCCCAGAGGATACTTTTAGAGAGAAAAGAATCCCTAGAGAAACCAGGAGGTGTAGCAACAAAGAGGAATCTGAGAAAGGTAAGAGGAGCAAGAGGCTAATATAATTAAAATTATTACACATTATTAATAGAGACAAGGACATTGTAACCTCAATTCTAAATAGTCACAAAATAGATTGACATTATCAGTGTATTTCAGGACCAGGGAATTGATGTGCTAGCATCAATACCATTGTTATCTCAAATTTACCTGTAATAAATCCAGTTCTTCCCATCAAGACCCTTGTTTTCCATGTCCACATCTTGTCTTATTTTTCCATGGAACCTAGTAATTTTTAACCCCATACCTGCTCATTGCTGCCTTTTCTGAATTTCCTATCCTGATGTAGCTATCTGGAACACTCTCTCCGCTGCTGCTCTCATCATCTGGTTCGATGTTGACATTTCTCAGTTCCATGGGATCCATTTGAGCTGTCAGCGCTTTCTTGTCCACACACAAGCCCCTTCAGTGTAAATAATATACTGTACGTTCAGCTTAAGGTTCTTCCACTTTGTGTTGATGTTCAGAACACTCTGTTCTGCAAACAGAACACAACATACATCATTATAATTTTATTTAAATGAAATAAGTGAATATGAATCATCTACATTTTGTATGCTCTCTGTAAAAGGGAGGAAGGAAGGTAACTCCTGAAAATTTTACATAAGCAAATCCTGAAAGGTTCCTTTACCCAATACAAGAAAGAAAAAAATGGATGAGAAGAAAGGAAATTACTAATAATTGCTAAATTAGCAGATATTTATAGAGTGTCTATGTGTAATGAAAATGGCAGGTCTTACTAGTCACTATAGAAAAAAAAAATCTTAAGACATGGCAGCAGTCTTCAAGGAAATTTAGGTATTTGTGAGTGGGATGCATGTTTTAAAAGAAAGGAAGACAAAAGTAAATTCTTGACAAAGGAAGGTCTGCCAAGGCAGAATCTACCAGTGTCTCTACTAGCAATAACTAGAAAGAAAATTACTGCTTTAATTTAATTGAACAGGAAAGAATTAACACCAGCAAATGCTTGATAATATGCAACATAGGTGAGGATCAAGTTTAGGAAGTCACTTTCTAGGCACTTGGATCCTGAAACCAAAGTTAAGAACAGTAACAAAAGAAAGTTCAGATTTACCTCTGGGTCAGCATCAGTCATCATCTATGTCAAATTAAAATGTATTTTAACAGCAAAGAGATCTAGATTTTAGGCTCTGCTCTGCCTTTAATTCATTGGATCTCAGCATAAGTCATTTAACATTTGGGGACCTCATTTTCCTCAACTGTAAAGTGAAAAGGGGTGGACTGGCATTGTGTTTTTGAAAAATGCCCTGAATCTACTATATGTTGTTGATATAATTTCTTCTGAAATTCTTACTGTTAGATTCATTCAATTATCATTGAACCATTATATTAGGAGAAACACTATCACTCTTGAAAGGTGTGGTCCTGAAATGTGCAATACCCATTTGATAAGGAAATCTTGAGCAGAGAAACTAACATAAAAATTGCTCCAGAAGTCACAAAATCTGCAATTCCTCTGACAAACAGAAACTATCACATGGGAATACCTCCACAACCCAGTGCCATGGCAGTACTTTTTTGGAAGATAACTCATACCTGGGAAAAGTTCACATCCTCAAATTATAAAACATATAAAACACACATGGAAACTCACTAGTAAGAGTGCCGGTAGGCGCAAGAAATGATAAAATTCACATATAAGGAACTACAAATAACAAAGCAATTTAAAAGGGACTTTTACATTATTATAATGAAAAGTAAAAGAAAACATTCAAAATATGAGAATAACTTTCACAGAATAAAAACATAAAGGAATATAAAAGGAGAACAGGCTAGTTGGAAAAAGAGTCAAAAAAGGAATTCTAAAAAAAAAGAAAAAATAGAATCATTGAAATAAAAAAAAACTCAGCTGAAGGAAGAGTCATAAAATTGAAAGATGTGTGGAAATCACTCAAATTATAGCATGAAGAGATTAAAAAATGGAAAATCCAAACAAGAAGTTAAGAGGAATGGGGGAAATAAGAATTACAAGTTCAAACACATACTAATAGTCATTCCAATATAGAGAATTGTAAGACTAGGGTGAGACAAAACAGAAAGAGATAATGGCAGAGAATTGTCCAGAAATAAAGAAAGCAGTTCTCAGAATTTAAAAAAATAGCACACAGTGTTTTAAGCAGGAGGAACAAAAATGAATCTATTATTAATATAAGGCAGCCTAAGTGTATGTACATAAAAGATCTAAAGAAACAGGTTAAAAGCTAAGAGAGAATAGAAGTAAGACTTGCATATGGTTAAGAGAAAAAAAAAAAAGAAACTCACTAAATGAGTACAAAGGTTTTTCTCACTCTTCACACAGTACCAGTCTCACTTCCCAGCAGCAACCACTGTTGATGGTTTCTGCTTTTAGCTTGTCATTTAAAATTAGCCATTCTAGATCTAAATAATTCACTAAAGCTTTTTAGACTTGGTTTACTGATTTTAGACTGGTTACCTATAAAAAATAAGGATATTAGCATACTTTTTCTTTTCTTCCTTCCCCTACACTCATAATTATTTTAGTTAATAACATGCTTTTACAATTTGAAGATCATAATATTTTCATCTTGTTCTGTGAAACAAATGTGTCATAACTTGCCTGTAGGTTGTTTCTAAACATGTAAAACCAATAAGCAGCAATTACAGTATTATCATTATATAAATAGTATGCCCTAAAGACAAAGTGGGATATTTGACACAAATGAAATATAATTCTATATTACCAAAACTTTGAAAGCAAATTTTCTATGCTCTTTCTCATTCTGAATGGCTTCCTCCTCCAACCTCTGAGTCTTTCTCAGCTGCTAGTTTCTTGAACGCCATTCTATCTTCTTTCTGCAGTTTATTTTGCATTATGCTAAAATAATGCCTTGAATAACTTTTTTCACAGAATGAGCCTATGTCTGTAAATAGAATTTCTGAGTTGCTTCATGTTGGAAAATGTCTTTATTTTGCCTTCAAACTTTATCAATTGTTTGAATTCTAGATTCAGAAGCATTTTCCTTTAGAATATTGAAGAAATTTCTCTATTCTAGCTTCTATAGATGAGTCTTGTTCTTATTTCTTTATAGATAACTTATCAATGTTTTTCTGAGGATTTTAGAATTTTTATCCTTATCTTTTTATTACGACGTAACTAGATGTGAGTTACTTTTAAAATTCACCATACTCAGCATGCAGAGGGCCCATACAATCAAAAGGCTTGTGTCTGTCTTCTGTAGAAGACACATTTTCTTCTAAAAATAAAAAAAGTTCTACTATTTAAAAAGAAAACTGTTTCTTCCCCTTTGTTTGCTCCTAAAACTTTTATTAATCAGGTATTGGACCTCTTGATCCATATTGCTAAGCTTTTCTGTTTATGTTCGATCTGTTCATTATTGCTCGATGTCCAGGAATATTTCCTCGATGTCACATCCAAAATAACAAATTTCACCTTCAGCTATATCCGTTTCATTTTTCAACTTGTTAGCTGACTATTTTTCTCAATCACGCTCTTAATTTCTAATAATTTGCTCTTATCCTCTTTCTCTTTTTTCATATCACTTTCTTTGTTTTATGAATACAATATTGTCTCAGATTTTTCTAAGGATATTGATGTGAGGTTTTCAGAAGTTCCTTTTGTTCCCTAAATTATGTTTCTTCTGAAGTTAGTTATTCTGTTTGTTCCCTTTGGTCCTTCTCTTCCATGCTGCTCGTTTTCCTTAGTTTCAAGTGTCCTAGGTTATCTGTTCATATTTGTGAATGACGGAGCACATTAATTAGCTTGGACAGCTGGTACTCAGAGCTTCTCTGAAATTGTGTGGTCCCATTTCACTGATGGGCTGCTCTGTTGTAGGTTCTGTGCAAGTGGCTCTTCTGCTGCTTGTCTGTGGGAGGAGCATCCCACTCCCAGACACAGCTGCCACTCCAGGAGTGGTTACTCTGGGAGTGAAGCATTTTAATGTATCTTCTTTTTGGTAGAGCTTCCATTCCTGCTTGTTATACCTCTTTGTCTGCAGTAGAGGCCCTAATACTTATACTAGCATCCTTCCTTGAGCTTTCTTTACAGAATGGATCACAGCTTTATCCTATAATCAAAAACGGTATCCCAAACAGACTATCATGTCTAAACTGAGGTTCCTTGGCGGATATCTGATCACTGGTTACCCGTGATCTATGCCTCCTCTTTGTCTATATCGACTTAACTTGAAGCTAACTGCAGGGCACCCTATGGGAAAAACACACTTATCTTGGTTCCTTTTCTCTTAGATTTTCCAACCCTATCTTCTTTCTGCCTTCCAGGAATTCTCAAAAATTTCTCTTTGCTGCTGACACCACTATTACTTTTCACAGTTTTTGTGGTTTGTCCTTTTAAAAATATGATTTTGTGTGAAGTTTCATTGCTTGACTTCCTTAAAGCTAGATCTCAAGTCCCATTCTTCCAATCCTCTCCCAAGACTTCATATAATGTGATGGTTAATTTTATATGTCATTGTGGCTGTGTTAAAGGATGGGAAGATAGGAAGTAAAACTTTATATTGGGGTGTGTCTGTGAGGGTGTTTCTGGAAAAGATTACCTTTTGAATCAATAGACTGAGTAAAAAAGATCCACTCTCCCCACTGAAGGTGAGCATCCTCCAACCACTCCAGGTTCCGGATAGAACAAAAAGGCAGAGGAAGGGCAAATTTACTCTCTCTGCTCAAGCTAGGACATCCATCTTCTCCTGCCTTCTCTTGCCCTTGAACACTGGAGCTCCTGTGTCCCAGATCTTGCAATTCTGATACTTATACCAGCAACATCCTGTTTCTCAGCCTTCGGCCTCAGATTAAATTATACCACCAGCTTTTCCGGCTCTCCAGCTTGCAGATGCTATATTTTGAGACCTCTTAGCTCCATAATCATGAAAGCCAATTCCCATGATAAATGTCATCTTTTATCTATATACCTCTATACCTGTCTGTCTATCTATTTATCTCCACTTGGTTCTGTTTCTCTGGAGAACTCCGACAAATACATATAACAAAGACTCCTCAAGTTACATCAGCCTAGGCTTCTCCTGGGCCCTCGAGTTCCATGTGTTCGGGGGCCCAAATGTCATCTATATATCTCAAAAGCAGTTTAAATTCAATGTGTCCAAAGTCTACTTGTGATAGGCCCTCTTCTTCCAATGTTTCCGCTCCAAAGAATGTTGTCACCATTTATCCAGTTATTCAAGTCAAAAGCATAAGAGCCTTCTATTATAAATTTTTCTTTATTACCTTCCACATCCAGTTCTTTACAAAAGCCTGGTTGACTTTTACAATGAATTGAAGTATTTCTCAAGTTAGTCTTTTTCTTTTCATCTCTTTCACCTTCACTCTTGTCCACGCTACTAGCATGTCTACTGTAAAAATCTCCTAATTGATCTTGAATTCTCTTTTGCCTTCCTTAACTGCCCCTACCATTCATTCTTTATCCAATAGCCAGAGGGATATTTGAAACATAACAGCAACAACACA